TCGCTAATTAGTGCAAATTCCGTCACTAAACTAGTTAGTGATAGAATGATTTTATTAATAAAAACACTATTACTAATCTGTTAGTGATAAAATTTTCAATTCCATTGCTAATTTCGAGAATAGCTTATTTCAATTTAGCGACAAAAATCTAATCTCATCGCTAATTTGTCACAAAATAGCCATTGATTTGTGACAGAAATTCTATCACCAATTTCAAACGAATTAGCTGTAGAATTTTTGTCATAAATATTTGACAATTAGCGATGGAATTTCCATCACAATTTTGTTGGTAATTTTTTTTATAAAAATCATAAATATTTTTAATTTACATATAATGACAAAATATCCCTCACAAACCTCTCACTAATTTTTTTATTTTTAATTTTGTTTACATGTAACATTTTTGATATACTGATTCTATTATAATCCTTATAGAACAAGAAATTCAAATTTACTAAATAATTATAGCATAAAGCGAACATTTCAAATTAAATAAATTACCATAACTTGTAGCAAATTACTCACTAGTCTAAAAAAATACAACAAAGCGTTTAGATCCTTTGATATACATTTTAGAATAGCGTTGACGTCCACTTACAAGTTCTCTATCATGAAACTTTTGGACAAGCCTTTGGCTTATAAATATGTCTCCTATCTGCAAAGAAGAATACAAAATCTATACATTCCAATTGAAGTGCAATAATTTGCCAAGCTGGGAACGTTTTGACCATACAATATTTATTAATATCAAATAGGCAATGAAACTCAGTCTTTCAAGGAAAATCATTAAGTACGAACAGAATTTCATAGATGAACTCCATATAACTCATGTTGAAGGTTCATCTAGAACCTTCTAACTTTCAAATGCCTTCTATTATTTTCATTTGTTTCTAAATTGAAATATAATTAGAAATCTATACATTTGCAGGGGCAACATCAAGCTACCATGATACTAATCCGTTTAATTATCTATGACTAAATGTATGATGTAAGGATTGAATGAGAGGCTTGTATGTATATGTATCTTGATGCTCTTAAGAACTTCCAGTAGTTTCTTAAATATTCCTGGAAAAGAAGAAAAGTTTGCTTAGAAACACTTTATTGTATAAAAAAGAAAGAAGATTTTGAGAAACAACATGATCAAAGAAAATTGATGAACAATCTGTTCCATATGCACACCGCATTTCTTAGGAACATAAAAAATTAGTAAGCATTAAATCGTTGTAGAAAATAAGTTATTATCTAGTTAACTATATATAAACCATTTATCTAGATAATCTAAATTAACTTAAAAGAGTAATTTCAATGTGTATATCTAGTACAAAATGCCATAGCAAGATATTTGGCACTACCAAAATTTGACTTTTATGTATGAGATAATTATGCAATAAAAATTAGTCACCTCCCTACTCAAACATTAAGATTATTCAATGAAAGAGAGAGGCAGAGACATAATTTAGTGTATACATAGTTAAGGCCAACCCACGTCATTGATCTATCTCACCTTCAAATCTCTTCCATACTTTCCACAATAGAAATAAAGATGAAAATAGATTAAATTTACTGTAAAGATAGGCCAAAAAACCAGCACGTGCAGATGTGAGAACTTGACAAGTAGAAATTGGTTCCAAGCTCCAAGATGATAGAGCCTCTTGACACCCTGCTTTGAGACAATACGAATTAGTTACGGATTAGCAACGGAATTATTTTCCGTCACTAATCCACTATTTTTTTGTAGTAACATATGCAAATACATACTCATGCATATATCTCAATAACTCAACAAAACTTGCATGTTATAGCCACGAAGCATCTTTATCATTATTAGGCATGTTTACCATATAACATTAACTCAAAGTCAACATATCAACCAAGAAGTCCATATTATCCATCTCAAGTCAATGATAACTTAGTATAAATTACAATTGCAAACACTATGATATACAATAATTAAAATTTCCTATTGCCTCTACTCTTGGAGTCACTCAAAAGGGCGCCCATGGATTCAATCCAATTCCAAGTTTCCAAATACTTCGAAAGCCCAAGAGAAATCTAGTCTTCAAAAATTTTCCTCCCGTCAACACTGTGCTCGCACAACTCTAATCTCTCCTCTCCCTTCTCTTTGATTGCCAAAAATGTTTAGGGGTTTGACAAGTTATCACCTCATATAGTATTAGGTGAGAACCACATGTCACCCAATCCCCTAAAATATAAATCTGGAGGCTTAAAAAATCAATTGTTGGATGCAGCCAAGGAACCTTTGATTATAAAGATAGCTCGTTTCTTATATTCTTCCAACCCTCATTGATTATGAGTCATTTTTCAATGTAGTTAACTATCCTTAAACTCCCTTAAAATATTACTAACCTAATTGAATCCAAGGGTAAGAATTTAGGAATGTTAAATATTTTCCAACCCAAAACTAGCTTAGAATGAAGATTAAGAAGTAGAAGAGAGGTTAAGAGAGTTACCTAAGTTATTTAGGAGCCTGAAAACATGCGCAATCAATTCTTTTAATAAACGCTGATAGTGCATTCAAGTTTCACATTTACTCTCCTATTTTTTTCCTTCTTGTTTTCTGTTTTGTGCATCTATTTATGTTTAAAGTTTTGACATATGCACCGTAATAGATGCTTCATGTATCGAAATGCAGAGTACAAATGCGTTACTTAGCCTCTAACCCATGCATTTTTTGCCAAGTCTAGGCCTAATATATAACATCCTGAAATTTAACTCCCTTGCTAATTAAACTAATGAAAGGTAATTAAGTAAATTTAAGTGAAATTGGATTTGAGAATGGTGAGAGAGGGCTAATGAATCTATTGGTCTTTAGTTGCAGCCTTTAGATCAAGTTTGAAGTGATATTGGGCCAATTGGGTCCAGGTCAAGTCACTAAATCAAATTGGCCTTCTTTATATCATCCATCATGACAGATGGCTAGAATTTTGAATAAATCATATGTTCAAATGTCTGAGAAAAAGACCAAGTGCAGCCCCTCGTATACGACCTTCTTCTCTTTGCCATTGATTTGTAAAGATGGTAATAGAGGCAACGTCAAGTCAAACTCAACATAGATACACGCAAAGCATCCTTTGGTGAGGTAGAGAGTAGTCGTGCCTACCTTGAATACATGACCAATTTGATTGCTAACAACATATAGAGTACCTTTATCATAGTAGTCCAAAGGAAATTTAGGAATTTGAACAGAGACTTCCTTCTCATTAGAATCAAAGTCAGCTTTCCATGGCTAAACTCACCTAGTAGTGATCCATAATTAGCCATAGCCCACCAGTCAAGGCAAAAAAATCACAACCATCCTGATATTGGACTTCATAAAAAATAGTCCGATCTAAATTCAAGCGTCTCAATCTCTCAATGAATACCCCATATCATTTGGAGTTTTTTTCCCCAAGTAATCCTTCTTCACCATTTGCCTTAACAACCTAATGATAAGAGTTTTCATCCATTTCTTTGCCAAGTTCTTTTGAAATTTTGGTAACATAATAATGCTAGGACCCTTCTCCATATCCTCAACATGAATACGACTCTTCTTGCTGTCCCCGCTCCACCAATCTTCCTCCTCTTCTTTACCATCACTTTCAAACTCACCTTTGTTAACAAAAGCTTGCTTATACGACTTCCTTTGAGAACTAGTTTCTTCAATTGGAGACTTGTCTTTCATCCACTCCTCCTCCCCAGGTACAATGGCACAATCATTCGTTAACTAGCCATCACTTATATGCACCTTCTCTTATGACTTCTCTCCAATGCATTCACCTCTTCCGACGACGGCACCACCGCACTCTCTCCCCGCCCCCCCTCTTCCCCACAGTTTTCATATTTTGATTTATCTGAGTTTGTTGACATTAATTAATTGTTGGAACTTGGAAGAATTTATTAAAAAAAAAAAACTAGCATCTTGCAATTAACGTACAACTTTCTCAACTTGTCAACTTTTTTTAGTTCAAATGAAGATAAGTTATTATTTCAGATTCAAGCTGTTCTAACATCAATTTAATCGAAAAAACCTTTTTATCTTGTTTTGTTTTGAAAAATAACTTTTAAAAATAAAATTGGGAAGAAAATAATCAAACAAGTCCTAATTTTTTCTCAATTTTTTTTTATTAAATTCTTAATGTGCCAAATATTTTATTTTCCAACAGTCTACCCCATATTTGTCTAAATTGATTCATATCACTCCTCGCTCTCCAGGTTAAATTCTTTCTTTTTCTTTTTGTGGAAAATCGGCTTAGATGGAGTAAGCCAAACAGATGAAATTTCGTGCAAAACAAATCATTCATAAGTTGCATGACTCGCATTTTTTTTTTTTTAATTCTACGCAAAACATGAAGCTCATCTATTTGTGTTGTCTAATTATTATTATTTTTCACATAAAATAGGCATGCTACATTCAGTTATTACCATGAAAAATATGTAGTTAGCTTTCCTATAACGCTAACGGAAGCCTCCTTTGCCGGTCCACTAAGGCAAAAACACATCTAGACTGTTCAAATTTAATCTAAACAAACCAAATTTAATTTTTTAATTTTTTATTTATTTATATTTTTAAAATATAAATATAAAAATTGTAAAAAAATTTAATAAATATATTTATCAATCTAAACAGAATATATTTATTATTAATATTAAATTTAATATAAATAATTTACTGCACTGTTCAGAATATATCTGCACTGTCTATATTTTATTCAGAATATAAAAAGTCTAAATTTAATATTAAAATTTTTTAAAAAGCCAATTTAAATTTAAACTTACTGCTCTATTCAAAATATATTCAAAATGCATTTAAAAAGTCAATTTAAATGTTTAATATTAAATTTAAACCATCCATATTAAATTTGAACTATTAAATTAATAAATATATTTATTAAAATTTTTTATGATTTTTATATATTTTTATTTTAAAATAAAAATTAAAAATATTAAATTTGAACTACCCAGACTCTACTTTAGTGGAGAGGCAGAAGGAAAGCCGACTCTGAAAAATATTCAAGTGTTAATTAAAGTGATCACCACCTTGCAATAAAATTGGAGTGATGACGATACTATTTAAATTGATAGATGTGAACAAGTGAACCAACCAATCCCGTAATATAAACGATATTGGAACACACCAAAATAATCACATTCTTCCATCGAGGGCAAGGAATAAACCATACGAAAACGCTCATGAGCGAATGGCGGAATGGGAAGAGGGAGTAATAGATCCATGAGAGGCGGAGTCGTTTTGTGAGAGTGAGAGAGTGAAAGTGATCTCAAAATTGAAACTTGAGGAATGCTGCTGTCTCCTGCTTTGCCAATAACTTCACTCTCCTTCAACATCAATTCTTTCAATAGTGACCAACGAGTAATGGCATTGGGAATTTTGAATAGTGGCATATCAACATCAGTGTTATTTGTTTGTGGCATCAACACTTCCTCTTGCTCAACTCCCCCGTCATTATCATCATTACCCACTTCTCTTCTCCATGGCCCCCCCTCTCTGCTTTCTCCACCACATCTCCTTACCTCCACATTTACTAATGAGTCAGGCCACCACTCATCTTCGCTTTCTCCACCTCCACATACCTCCACATCTAGACCGAAAGTACTAGGTGACATTCTACGAAAAGAGAAGTCAGAGGTAAAATGATGGTTGAAATCCCCAAACTCCATTGGACCATTTGACCATCTAACTATCTTAACAAATGGAAGTAAACGCACCAACCTCTGTACCCTCATTTTTAGCTCTGCCATTTCCCTATTCTTCAATGGCATGTGCACGTGCTTATATTCAACACCATATATAATCCTACCCTCCTCACAAACCAACACCTTTATCCTCACTTTATTGAATGAGGGCCACCACCAATTAAGATCCAAATAATTGAAGACTAACACCATCCCCACACTTCTCCCTTTCATAGTGCCACCCATCTTTATCTGCTTTTCCCCACCCTCATCTAGGCTTAATCCATAAAGCTTGGGCAGGACAATTGAAGAATGGATTTGACCCAAACTTACACAGCCTTGAGCATATAAACTTTCAATATTTGGGGCCTGAGACAGATCTGGGAGTGCTGTGAGATACCTTGACTCCCTTACATCAATCACCTTTAAGTTTGGAAAATGCTGCAAACAAAAATGTGTGCAATAAGTTAGATAATAATTAAATAATTTCATCATGAATTCCTCCCACGGCAATTAAAAATGACACATTATTATGAAGGAATTCAATCAACGCATTTAGAACATCAATTCCGCAATGCTTGAATTAGTGGGTTATAGTTGACAAACAAAAATAATGCCTGCATCCTCCGACATGCTATGACTATAGTTTTACCATCCATGCCACAGTAAAGCAAAATAACATGCGCGTTGTGAATTATTTTGTCACTGTTTAACACTCAAGATATCTAGCTACAAATTAAAGATCAAGAGGATCTTTTGTATAACACTAAAAAAACCAGATTATCTTTAGACATCAAGAAAATGATACGTACCACATCTCCTTTCCAAAGTTGTTGGATATGACTATCATGCATTTTAAATTCAACAAGATTCTGGGCACACAAGTTTAATGGCACATATAAGAGAGGACATCTTTCCCAACTAAGAAACCTTAGTCCCTCTGGAAGATCATCCACATCTTCAAAAATAGTCATGATCTCTATAGGCTTCTCCTTGTCAGACATGTAAACATTAAGGTATATTAAGTTTTTCATCTTTTGCAATTTAATAGGCCTCAATGTCTTCAATTTTATCTTGCTCATGTCCATCGACAAGCATCGAATTGCCTCCTCCCCCTTGTAAGAAAATCCACAGAAAAACACACAATTATTATTACAACACAAAAAAGGCCAAAAATCACCACAAAACAATCAAATATACTTGCTTTTCAAAATATCTAAATCAAATAACGCTACTGTGCGATTTCCTTAAACATTCTTTCAATTCATGTTTTCTTCAGGATAAATGAATTCCTCAAAATATACAAGCACCTGCATACATGTATGCCTATATTCATTTACCCTAATGCAACATTAGTCATTTAAATCGAGAAAAGTTTTCTTAAAAGAATAATCTAATTTTTAAAACAAAAAAGTAAAAACATAAGAGACAAAATAGAAGATATGAAAACGCAATAGTTTTTATCTCGTTCACATCCAATAATAACCACTTAATTGCCTCAAGAGCCTAGTGAGAAAAAAATCGTGCAGAAAAATGATAAATATGTAAAGATTCATAAAACAACCAATAGAACAATTGATTAAATATATTCCTTTTCCAAAAATCTAAATGAATATATGCTTTTTTCTGTACTGGAAGAAAAATCAACCTTGACAATTTTGTAACTCATTCAAAATCGTACGTCCACTAAAATTATATTTTACTATTATAATCACCATACTAGTCATATAACTTTTTTTTATATATAATCTATTTCAAAGCCCAACAAGACGAATATGTCACCCTAAACACAAAATCCTTGTCCCAAATAATTTTAGCCATTTGAATCAAGAAACGGTATCTTTTACAAGCAGTCTAATTAAAAATATTTAGTGCATACAAAATTGAAGAACTTCGAGATAAAAATTTACACCCCAATGCAATATTAATCATTTAAATCGAGAACGCTTTTCTTAAAGGAGTAATCAAATTAAAAGACATTCAACACATAAAAATAAAACAGAAGAACTTTGAGATAAGTAAATATATATCCACGTCCACTTACCACCAAAGATTTCATTGAATCAAAAACATGCACCAAATAAATATCACTAGCTATGAATATAATAATTAACTTCATAAAGAAATGAGATAAAAAATAATAACAAACATTAGTTTGGATTCAATTATTACCTTGTTAATGTTATCCATGGAAAAATAATCATCAATGTCCTTGGGCCTCCATAGTCGAACAGGGCGCTTAGGATCAAATAATGGCTGTTGTCTTGCGATTTGAAGGCCCATTTCCCTCACAAGACCATGCATCTCAATATAGTGATGTTTATCATCAAATGAAATGAGGGATCTCTCTCTAAGAACAATTGTGTTAATATGTGCAGAAGGGCCATGTATTTGTTTTATTGTGTTCAAAGAAATTAAAACTTGTTCCTTCTTGAAAAAAGCTAAGTCAAGAAACACTTCTTTCTGTTCCTCATCATCAAGTCCATCAAAACTCAATTTCAGCACATTAATGATGTCATTGTGAGGAGTTTGATTTAGTTTATCCAAAGCACTTTTCCATTCTTGTTCTCCTCTACCATCAAGAAAACAACCCAGCACTATGAGGGCTAAGGGATTTCCTTCACAACGATCTACTACACACTTCACTAACTCCAAATGGCTTTTATATAGCTCATCATTTTGCTTGAAAGCTTTCGAACTAAAGAGATCAAGGGCATCATTAGAATCCAATTTGGAAACTGAGTATGTTGTTGCACAAGCATTCTTAAGCACATGCTCGTCTCTCGATGTGATCATAATTCTACTTCCTTCCCCAAACCATTCACATACTCTGATCAAATCTTCAACTGCGATGAACTTGTCCACATCATCAAGGATCAGAAGAATTTTTTTCTGCTGGAGCCTACTTTTCACAAAGTCTGATTTCATATTGTAAATGTTGATATCCTCATCTTTCAGTAATTCTTTAAGGCATTGTCCCTGCAATTCATCCAATCCTTTTCTTACTAGTTTTTCTCTAACATTTTCAACAAAACAGAAAGCTTCAAATTGTGCTTTCAAATTGTCAAACACAACTCTGGCAAGAGTGGTCTTGCCAATACCACCCATGCCCCATATTCCCACAAGGCGAAACTCACGTAGTAGCCCTACAATTTTCCTTATCTGATGATCGATCCAACTAATCCTTCAACACGCACGAATGACTTCCGATTCAATTTTCTCAAAACGTCTTCAACAATCTTTTTAACAAGTTCAGATTCAGGCCTAGCACAAATATAAAATAAAAGAAAAATCAGATTCAAAATCTAAAGAAAGAGCGCACAAAAGAAAAATGGTTAGAAGCTACCTAACACTCTTGGAATCCCATCCAGAGAGACTTGTTGATTGCAACAAAGCATTTTTCCACTGTGTCAACTTTTCTTGGTTAAACCTTCGCTTTAGCTTAGCAAATCCAACTCCAAACCTCCCATTTTGCTTACGAATATTTGATGGATCTACATTGTAGAAAATAGGAATAGCAATCCTTTTATGTTTACTTTTGCATTGCATGATGTGAATGAGTTCATTCATACACCATGTTGAAGAAGCATAATCTTCAGAGAATATAATCAAAGAGATCTCTGATTCCTCAATTGTTCTCAAAAGAATTGGTGAGATATCATCTCCTTTGTGGAGCTTGTGATCCATAAAAGTTCGAATGTTTGCCTTGCAAAGTGCATCATAAAGATGACTAGTGAAATTGTCACGAGTGTCTTCCCCCCTAAAGCTAAGAAATACATCGTGCTTGGTTGCAGGAGGAGGAGTGTCAACGTGAGAAGAAGAAGCCGTGGAAGTAGAGTCAACATCATCTTTACAACTTCAGATAGAAAGAAATCATCAACAAATATTGGGTTATCAGCAAATCAAACAAAAAATAGTGAGTAAATGTTTAGAAGACGTTACCGAGGAGATGTTCTAATAGCTTTAAAAATTGCTCCAGCCAACAGCAACGAACCAATTGCTGCAATCATTGTTAGCAATTTCTGCTTCAACCCGAACTAGACCTTGGTTTGTTGACTTTACCTTCTCAAGATGATATTGTTTTTGTTAGCTAGTTTATCCCCCCGTGAAGGGATAAATCCTAAATCCAAACAGAGTATTGTAAATTTAGATTGAAGATATATAGTTAGAATTAATTGTTTTAGATCATTAATAAACATCTCATATTTGATGGAGACATGGATTTTAGTAAGAAATAAAATCATATCCTGTTATATTTTATTTCATATTGGGAGTCCTATCAATGCTCATTTGCTACAGGGAGTCCTGTCAATACTCATTTGTTAATTAATAATTTTTCATTTCCATGACAAAGGTATACAAATATTTTTTACCAACCATATTAAATTTTATTTTACTCTGCACACTTAGGAATTTGTTCGAGAATGAAAGAATTAACCCCTCAAGCTTTTCAAAATTCAAACCAACCCCCAAAAAAAAAAAACAAAGAAAGAAAGAAACGGTGCAGAAACATAATTCGAAGTAAGGAGTGAAATGAAATAATGAAGATGCAATCACTATGTATAAACGAAATTGCATGTTTTATGTATGACAATGAAATGGGGAGTGATTACGATGAACAGATGAGAGAAAGAACAAACAGTTGGCCTTTGGAATTTAAAAAACAAAATAATTATGTCGTTTACTTCAAAAAAAAAATTGAATAAAATAAACAAAGACTTCCACAAACAGATCAAGTTTCAAGTCCAACCGCGAATAGTTAAAGGTTATGTGACCTTGTTTTTCAAAAATTAAAGTATTAAAAACCTCAAAGGTTCAAGCTTTGTCAGATCTACGATAGTAAGGTGTAGCTAAGAAAAGAAAATAGAAAATCTTGTGCAGATTTTCTTTCTGGGGAAAATAGCAGATCAGTAAAAATAAAGCAAGTGGAAGAGAAAAGATATAACCTGAATGGACGTGGATGGAAGAAGCAAAAGAAATAGCTCACAGGGTCTCCAAAATGGCAGCTTCGACAGGGAATTGCAGACTTGATTTCCGTTCTCTCTTAAAACAAGTTCTTCAGATTCAGAGATCAGAAAATTCCACACCCTTCACTTCTCTTCACTCTCCGTCCTTATATAGTTCCAGGAAGGGAGTTTAGCGTGTGGGTGGTGTTGCCGCGTTGCACGGCTGCTTCATCGTGTTGTACCTCTGGGACAGCTTTAGTAACAATGAATAAATAAATTAGTTTACTTCATAAAAAACTAATTAAAAGTAAATGAAGACATGTGATAGTATTGGGGTCATTGGAACGATGAAACGTTTTACTTTGAAATGGGTTTTTCACTCGCTCAAAAAAAAATATATTTAAACATATATTTTTAAAAAAAAGGGTAAATGACACAAATATCACTGTTAAAATAAACTATAATATAGGTCTTAAATTATAATGAGTATAGTTATTTTTTATTTTCACGTTATGGTTCTCAAAGAGAGCGATTTCTTCTTAATTATTTTGATTTAAAGCTCCTCATATTTCCCACCACGTTGGACTCCACATTGACGCGCGGTCAACTTTAATAACTATCCTTCTTGTCCAGGCATTATAAAAGGTCTCAAGGATAAGTAGATTAAGAGCTTTTTTTTTTTTTAATTTTAACCATCATTTAAGTATAACGGTTGGACTCATAAAAATTTTAAAAGATTTTAATCTTTGTTAAAATGTTAAACTCTCCAAAATTAATGTCTACTTTAATTTTATGAATGTTTTATTACTCACTGATTGCAACTACTCCAAAAATCATCCATTTTCAGTCATTATCAAAAAAAATTAGAGATCTTACTATGAAGTCATGTTTATATAAAAGCAAATAATGTGCCAAACATAACAAGTTATGAGCAATACTTATAAAATGAATCAAATATTAAATCGGAAAGGTTAGCAATTCATAATTTATATAGTTCAATTAAATTGAATTAATGATCAAACCAGCAAGTCAGTAACATAATAATTAAATTTTAATAGGTTTTAATTTTTATTAAAATATTAAACTCTTCAAAATTAATATTTATTTTAATTTTATGAATACTTTATTATTCATTAATTGCAACTATTTTAAAAGCCATCTGCTTTTTACAGTTATTAAAAAAATTAAAAATCTTATCATGAGATAATGTTTATAAAAAAGTAGGGTTATATTTATAAAAACGCAAATAGGGCACCAACATAACTAATTATGAGATAATTAATTTTCTTCACTTCAAAAACTTTTATCGATCCTACCAAATATTTGTTGTCCAGGTCAAGTCGTCTCAAAAATTATTATCTTGTCAGGGCTCTGTGCATTGTCTCGTTGCCGTGTTGAAAATTTGGGGTTGGAATGGCCCCACACGCATTGATATGATAACAATTATAGTCCCAAGAAAATAAAACAAAACGAGGATAGGATAACACTTGAGCAGTGATACTGATGATCTCTTCACCCAAACTTTATTAAAATAATAATGAAAATTTTCAGGATGGTTAAATTTCTTGAAAGAATGATGGATAGATACTCAGAAGATCAATTAAATTAATTTAAATTTTAAATATTAATTTTTATAAATTTGTAAGTTCTTAATTTTATAATTTTATCATGATAAATTTATAACTTATATTTTAAATTTAATAAAAAAATAGATTAATTTATTTTTAATCATGTTAAAATTTAAAAAATAAATTATAAATTCATTATAACGAAATTGTAAAATTAAAGTCAAACTTATAAATTTTTAGAGTTTAATATTCAGATTTAAATTAAATTATTTAATCTTTTTGCAACCTTCATGTAATTTTTTTCAAATTACTTTCGTTACTTTTAAATTGACATCAATATTTTTGAAATTATTGTTCATTAGATTGTTCTAATAAGGTACCGGTGGTAATGATTTTTTTTTTTTTGTCAGACATCATTCTATTCAAAAGACATGAAGATGATGGCATTATAAACGAAGGAAGCTGATTTAATAATAAATAAATAAATAAAGGAAACTGTTGTTGCAGTAATACTGACACACTGAGATGAAGTGGGAAATGATTATTATGAAAGAGTAAGAAATACATGCTTCTTTTAAATAAAAATAAATAAATAAAATAATGAATATTTTTATAGTCAACAAAACAATGTCACTTCATTTTCCTACAGTTGAAGCTAATTTAGGAAGACAATGAGGTCTGACCTTTGATTGACATGAACGTGATGAAAGGATCAAACAAAAGTATTTAGAAAATGCGACAAAGTCACCTACAAATCGACGATGTTTTCATGAAGGAAGCTTAGCGCGTCGGTTGTGTTGCCGCATTGCATGGTTGCTTCATCGTATACCTCTTGCTTTAGTAACAATGAATAAATAAATTAGTTTACTTCATAAAAAACTAATTTAAAGTAAATGAAGACATGTGATGATATTGATGTCACTTGGAACGATGAAATGTTTTACTGTGATGGGTTTTTCACTCGCTCACAATATATATATATATATATATAGTTAAACACATTTTTTTTAAAGAAGGGTAAGTGACACAAATATCACTGTTAAAAAAAACTATAATATAGGTCTTAAATTATAATGAGTATAGTTATTTTTTATTTTCGCGTTATGGTTCTCAAAGAGAGCGATTTCTTCTCAATCATTTTGATGTAAAGCTCCTCATATTTCCCACCACATTGGACTCCACATTGACGCCCAGTCAACTTTAATGGCTATCCTACTCGTCGAGACATTATCAAAGATCTCAAGAATAATTAGATTAAGAGCTTTTTCAAAAATTTTAGCCATCACTCAAGTTCAGTTCAAGCTGTTGAACTCATAAAAATTTTAGAAGGTTTTAATCTTTATTGAAATGTTAAACTCTTAAAAATTAATATTTATTTTAATTTTATAGATATTCTGTTATTCATTGATTGCAACTACTTCAAAAGCCATCCATTTTTTGCAGTTATTAAAAAAATTAGAGATTTTATAATGAATTTATGTTTAAAAAAAAAAAAGCAAGTAGGGCGCCAAACATAACAAGTTATGAGATAATTAATTCTCTTCACTTCAAAAACTTTTGTCCATCCTACCAAACATGCCTTTGTGGTCCTCAAGTCAAGTCGTCTCAAAAATTATTGTCTTGTCAGGGCTCTATGCATTGCCGTGTTGCCGTGTTGAAAATTCAGGATTGGAATGGCCCCTACTCATTGATACGATAACAGTTCTGGTCCAAAAATATATAGGTGGGGATAGGTAACATTTGAGCATGGTGATCTCTTCGCCCAAACTTTATTAAAATAATATTAAAAATTTTACAAAATTTCAATTTTTCAAAATGGTTAAATTAATTGGGAGCATAACATATTGGTCCAAGCCATCAATTAATTTAATTTAAATTTTAAGTACCAAACTTTAAGAATTTATAAGTTCAGTTTTTTATTTTATAATTTTATTGTAATGAATTTATAATTTGTCTTATAAAATTTAACAAAAAAATAAATTTATTTATTTTTTAACTATATTAAAATTTAAAAAAATAAGTTATAAATTTATCACAATAAAATTATAAAATTCTTGTGTGTATTCTAATCCTAATATTATTCTCTTCTTGTCTGTATTCTCCATGAAGGAAGCTTAGCGTGTCGACGGTGTTGCCGCATTGCACGGTTGCTTCATCGTATCATACCACTGGGACACCTTTAGTAACAACGAATGAATAAATTAGTTTACTTCATAAATAACTAATTTAAAGTAAATGAAGACATGTAATAATATTGATGTAATTTGGAACGATGAAATGTTTTACTGGGAAATGGGTTTTTCACTCCCTCAAAAAAAAATACATATATTTTAAAAAAAAACAAGGATAAATGACACAAATATCACTGTTAAAAAAACTATAATATGGGTCTTAAATTATAATGAGTATGGTTATTTTTTATTTTCACGTCATGGTTCTCAAAGAGAGCGATTTCTTCTCCATTATTTTGATTCAAAGCTCCTCATATTTCCCACCACATTGGACTCCACATTGACGCCCTGTCAACTTTAACAGCTATCCTACTTGTCCAGGCATTATCAAAGATCTCAAGGATAATTAGGTTAAATGCTTTTTCAAAAAATTTAGCCATTACTCAAGTTCAGCTGCTGAACTCATAAAAATTTTAGAAGATTTTAATTTTTATTAGAATGTTAAACTCTTCAAAATTAATGTTTACTTTAATTTTATAGATACTCTATTATTCATTAATTACAACTAATCCAAAAGCCACCTGCTTTTTTGCGGTTATTAAACAAATTAGAAATCTTATAATGAGGTTTTTTTTATAAAAAAGCAAATAGGGCACCGAACATAACCAGTTATGAGATAATTCTCTTCACTTCAAAAACTTTTGTCCATCTAACCAAACATGCCTTTGTCGTCCCCAGGTTCAAGTCGTCTCAGAAATTATTGTCTTGTCAGGTCTCTGTGCATTGCCGCGTTGCCGTGTTGAAACTTTAGGATTGGAATGGCCCCCACTCATTGATATGATAGCATTTATTGTCCCAAAAAAAAAAAAAAAGTGGGGATGGGATAACATTTGAGCGTAATGATCTCTCCACCCAAACTTTATTAAAATAATATTGAAAATTTACAAAATTATAATTTTTCAAAATGGTTAAATTAATTGGGAGAATGACATATTGGTCCAAGGCGTCAATTAATTCAATTTAAATTTTAAATATTAAATTTTAAAAATTTATAAATTTAATTTTTAATTTTATAATTTCGTTATAATGAATTTATAACTTGTGTTTCAAATTTTAACAGAAAAAAATTTATTTATTTTTTAATCATATTAAAATTTTAAAAATAAGTTACAAATTTATCACAATAAAATTACAAAATTGAAGGCCAAACTTGTAACTTCTTAAAGTTTGATATTTGAGACTTAAGTTAAATTAATTGATCATTTTGGGATCTCTATGTCATTTTTTCAAATTACTTTTGTTACCTTTAAATTTTCATCAATATTTTTGAAATTATTGTTCATCAGATTATTGTTCTCCTAATAAGGTGCCGATGGTAATGATTTATTTTTTTAAAAAAAATCAGATATTATTGTATTCACTAAACATGGAGTGAAAGAGATGAAGATGTGGCATTACAAACAAGGGAAACTGCTTT